ATGTCAGTAAAGCATAACGCCTCAGTCGAACTGACAAAGACCGGAAGAAATGCATGTGCGTATGAGCAATTTCTCAACCACAACCAGAAGAGAGTGCAGGGTTATGCATGGTAAAGGAAATCACTTAAAGCAACATGAAATGGACGAGGAGGCTGACAAGACTGACAGGCTGATAACACCACAGGGTGGCAGGGAAAAAGTGAGTGTGACATGGGTGAGAGTAGGGGGCTGAGACAACAAGATAGTTGTAATAGAATGCGAAATATTTCTCCTTGAGTCAGCCATAAAACTTTAACAAAGGTGGAGGTGGAGGCTGCGTCAAACATGTCAGCTGTAATGGGTTATAAAATGGGCTCAGTCTCAGCCATCTCTGCCTTAGATCATTGCTCGCATCCTCAGGGAGGTGACAGGGAAGGAGTGGCTGCCTTTAGTCCCGCTGCGAGAAATGACCCTAGGCAGGTACAGACTCTAGCGTGGAAATTACAGAGCTAAAGCCACCTATGCCATTTAAAGAGGCCCCAAAGGCACTCTAAGCCTGTGTACAAGCAGCTCTCTGTAGCTGGCTATGGACATTCACCGATCGCTGCCTTCCAGGTACCCTACTGTAAAAAAGATAATTTTATTTACCTACTGTTAAAGGGTCAGTCCCACTTACCTCTAGCTCTGCTGTTTTTCTCTCGCCCAAAACATTGGACTTTGTTTGTGATGATCACAGAATTGAAAAACTATATTAAAAAAATTTAACAGCAACAACTTTTTCTAGAAAAAATGTTCCCTTTTCTTCGAATAATCCCGAGGACACACTGTCAGGGATTTTCTTAGGTACTATTTTTTTAATGAGAAAGTAGTTCCAACAATGCCTGTTCATTGTGAGTTCTATGAATTAAATAGGACATTGTTTCTAGAAAGATAATTTGTAGTTTTTCCAATGTTTTCAGAATCACAGAAAATTCAACTGATCTCCATGATACACAGAAATATCAGAGACAGATGTCCCAAAATCCGAACAAAGAAAACTGAAACTATTCGTATGGCTCACTTATCTAAGAGGAAATGGTAGATATATTCCCTTACAAATGAAAAGTTACATTCTTGAACAATAAAATGCACCCTTACTCAATTCAGTACACTCAAGTGTTTTGTTGCTACAGCCTTAGTTACTTGGTCTAGTAGGAGTATTAGCTCATGGTGGCAATTGTTAGCAAACTTTAGACAGATGCTGTTGTGTAATTTACATTAATGATGCAGTTCACTCACAATACAACAGTTCTTGTGCTACTGTGACTATCTGTTCAGACACAACACAAAGCAAATTTTAGAGGCAGTGCATTTCCCAAAGTCAATTCGAAGAGGCAAAAAAGACACAAATTTGCAGAGGGTGGTGCGAAGTGATGCATAAACGTGTCCTCACCGCACAAGTCATAAACGTACAGAAATGAGAAGGAGAGCGACGGAGGTAAAATAACAGAAAGAAACAGATTCTNTGGGGTGGGGGGTTGTGATATTTTAATTTCTTCACGTGTGTCGTGCTGCTTCTGTGAACTTGGGCACATCATGTCACGTTCTTGTCTAACAACTTTCTCCTCTGTCACGTTTTAGATTGCTACCTAAAAGAACACACACACACACACACACCACACCACCACAACTTTCAAAATGTATCAACGCCACCGCCAATGTCAGTCAGCGAGTTTGTTCTCCTTCTCCTATGCACTTGTTTTTGGGTGCTTATTTTCATGACTCCATAAGTCTGCTCATCATCCTGTCATTCCAAGAATGTCATGTCAAACATCAAGTAGTACAAGTCAACTTTCAAATAACGTCCAGCCACACATAACCAAAGTTCAGAATTCAAGAAGGAGAAAGACATTCTCGCCTCAGAGGCCTCTACGGCACTCATCCAAAAAGTTCAGGTTGTGTGTTAATGATGTGAATTACTCACATGGTGTGTATGTGTTATAGATGTAGTGAAGAGATAGAGAGGCATTAGAGAGGAAGAGGAGGAGGTGGAGGAGAGGAGAATGAATGCTGAATAGAAGGTGATGAATGAAATGACTGAAGGCAAAGAGAAAGAGCGAAACAGTGAGAGAGAGAAGTGGATTTTAAATTACATGGTGGCTCATGTCAGCAGCCGTAATTAGTAGCTTGGTNAATGTTTTCAGAATCACAGAAAATTCAACTGATCTCCATGATACACAGAAATATCAGAGACAGATGTCCCAAAATCCGAACAAAGAAAACCGAAACTATTCGTATGGCTCACTTATCTAAGAGGAAATGGTAGATATATTCCCTTACAAATGAAAAGTTACATTCTTGAACAATAAAATGCACCCTTACTCAATTCAGTACACTCAAGTGTTTTGTTGCTACAGCCTTAGTTACTTGGTCTAGTAGGAGTATTAGCTCATGGTGGCAATTGTTAGCAAACTTTAGACAGATGCTGTTGTGTAATTTACATTAATGATGCAGTTCACTCACAATACAACAGTTCTTGTGCTACTGTGACTATCTGTTCAGACACAACACAAAGCAAATTTTAGAGGCAGTGCATTTCCCAAAGTCAATTCGAAGAGGCAAAAAAGACACAAATTTGCAGAGGGTGGTGCGAAGTGATGCATAAACGTGTCCTCACCGCACAAGTCATAAACGTACAGAAATGAGAAGGAGAGCGACGGAGGTAAAATAACAGAAAGAAACAGATTCTCGGGTGAGTTGTGAGTCAGAGGTTGGGCTGAGCACAAATGCAAAGGCACACTCATACGGTCATCTGCAATGTACGCTGGCTGTTAGAGGGAAAATTAAACACACCTTTACACTGTATCTCAGTTTTATTTTTGTTTAGTTTTTTTTTTTTTTTTGTGGGGGGGGGGGGGGTGGGGGGTTGTGATATTTTAATTTCTTCACGTGTGTCGTGCTGCTTCTGTGAACTTGGGCACATCATGTCACGTTCTTGTCTAACAACTTTCTCCTCTGTCACGTTTTAGATTGCTACCTAAAAGAACACACACACACCACACCACCACAACTTTCAAAATGTATCAACGCCACCGCCAATGTCAGTCAGCGAGTTTGTTCTCCTTCTCCTATGCACTTGTTTTTGGGTGCTTATTTTCATGACTCCATAAGTCTGCTCATCATCCTGTCATTCCAAGAATGTCATGTCAAACATCAAGTAGTACAAGTCAACTTTCAAATAACGTCCAGCCACACATAACCAAAGTTCAGAATTCAAGAAGGAGAAAGACATTCTCGCCTCAGAGGCCTCTACGGCACTCATCCAAAAAGTTCAGGTTGTGTGTTAATGATGTGAATTACTCACATGGTGTGTATGTGTTATAGATGTAGTGAAGAGATAGAGAGGCATTAGAGAGGAAGAGGAGGAGGTGGAGGAGAGGAGAATGAATGCTGAATAGAAGGTGATGAATGAAATGACTGAAGGCAAAGAGAAAGAGCGAAACAGTGAGAGAGAGAAGTGGATTTTAAATTACATGGTGGCTCATGTCAGCAGCCGTAATTAGTAGCTTGGTCAGGTGTGGTGAGTGGGACAGGAAGCATGAAAAGACGGACAAAACACCACAGAGGCAAAGGAGAGTCTGTGAGGAACAGAATCAGCTCGACAGCGCAATATGAATTTCCCCAAAGTGGAGAAAGTGAATGAGAACAGAGCGCATTGCGAATTAGTGCGCACAAAAGGCTGTTGTTCACGATATGTCGCGTGTCAAGCGTGTGGATGATGGATCTGGAAATTCAGACGATTCTTAAGCTGGCTGGCAGCCTGTCAAGTCTAATGTTGCCTTTAGAGAAAAGAACAAGGGGAGAGCAGAGCAGATAAACTTACAGCATGACACAAGTATCCACACATTCTGGATCTCACCCCCACTGTGCAGTACAAGAAGTCTCCTGAAAGAGAAAACACAGGGTAAAAAACCTTCCTGCATGCACCGGAAAGCACACCCTCTGAGCTATTCACTTCATTTTGTCTTTTGCTGGCTTAGTTTATACATTTCAGTTTCAGTCTAAAGTCTTACTTTATAGGAAACTGAACATGGGGGGTGTTGGACTGAAAGTTGTTCTCATCTGTACTCTGTTTGTTGAGAGACTAAAGTTCTTGATTACTTCCTTTCTGTGGTAGATTAAATTTATCAAGTTCCAAGTAAAAATTCTGGTGAGTTTCATGCAATTGTATCTCATCTCTTGGCTTCCTAAAGCTCCAAATCAACAAGTATCTGTATCACTGTGTCGACGCTAATGCACAGAGTGGTAATATTTCAGTCTGCAGCTGTTGCTGTGATGAAGAGTTGGATATTAAATTTCTTAACATTCAAGAAGTGTCACTTTGCCAGCTGCATTTAAGTCAATTTTTAAGCTGCAGAAGACACAAGAAGCGACTGAGTGAGAATTGTGATTATGTTTTGCTTTTAATCCTGTAAGCAATCCTGTGACATATTAGAATCTTAAATTAAAGTGAACTGACATCTTTCCAAATCTCACTTGACACTACACATGTACAGAAATGATCTCATCTCCTCTGTGTGTTGTGTCCTCGGTGTCCAAACACAACACAGGTTTGGCCTCTTCTCACCTGAAGACGGAGTGGGTGACTGTCAGAAAATGAAGATGTATTTGTCTGATCCGGACATAGCTGTGTGACAGCCAGTGCACCCCCCTGGAGAAAGCCTCACACCCCAGGGCAAGAGAGTGACTCACACACACACACACATACACACACACACACACACACACACACACACACACACCCACACACAAACACTCTCCAAGGAGGAGTCATGGGGCAAAGGGGAGGGGGGGGGAGGGAGCACAAGAGGAAAAGGGAGTGTATCTCTCTCTCTCTTTTTCTCTCTCTCAAACACACATACACACACACACACACACACACGCACACGCACACGCACACTCAAACACCAGCCCTCCTCCCGTGTAAGACGCAAGAGAAAGAGTCACACACTCGAGGGCTCAGTTGCGCAGTCAGTCACACACAGGTACACAGGATACTGAGGTTGGCTGAGAGACAGAGAGGGCAACAGACAACTGGTTGCTCATTGACACTCAAGCTTTCAAGGAGGGCAACGGACAGCCTGCCCTATGTGTGGCTCCTCTCAAGGCTTCACAGTAAGTGTGCAACATCCTCCTAAAAATCATCTTTCTGATATGAATGTAGATTAGAGATTGTAGATTGTATTCACCAGTGTGTATACGAGGTTAGACTCAAACTCAAACCATTTCTTTATTGCATTACTGACACCGTCCCGTGAAAGGTAATGTCAGACTGAAGGGAAAGAGTGCTTTCTAGAGTCAGCCTGTTACATGATGTCCTGCAAGCCACAGCTGTGTGCCTTTGACTCATGTCTTGATTTTCAGAATATATTTTCTGCTGTGTCACTGGGTTCGATGGTTTCGGAGTGAGTTATAGCACTTGTGACAGTCATACCGAGTCAGCTGTGGTGAAAAATAAGGTGAAGCATCGTTCATAGGTTTCACCTCTTTGTACTTTTATTTCCAGAGAATAAGTTGCAATATTCTGTTGTTGTGGCACATGCCACATTATGATGTAGGTAACGTAACAACAAAAACATCAAAAGGGGAATGAGACTGTGTTCCATTTTTGCTTATGCAGAAATGTGCATTATTTAAGTTTTTGAGTTGAGTTTAGTCTCGCCTCAGAAGGGAACACAAGTCACATGAGTGCTTACCAATATTACAAAACAACAGAAGTTATCTACCACTATCTCAGAGGCAAGCTGATCAACCTTAAAAAGAAGAAGTTCTCAGACGACATATCTGATCATTGTCTTTTAATCACACGTCTTCTATCCTCCTCTCTTTCTCTTTTTCACTATGTCACCATGTCGCCCTATCAGTCAGACCACTGATTTTGTCAACAACAAAAAAAAAAAAGAAAAAAGAAAAAAAAGAAAGACAAAAAAAAAGAGTTCCCTGACAACAATCTTCCTGAGAAGGGGAGGGAGAGACAGTAAGCAACAGACAACGAGAAAGAGAAAGACACTTTAGACCTGGCTGAAAGCCAAGTCCCAGTCAGTCAGAGGAAGTCTGCTCGATTCACTGGGAGCGCTGGTTTCCTTGTGAAAGTGGTCCTGCTCCGGGGCAGACATGCACAGGAACCTCCCTTATAGCCCAGGGGTTGTGATTTGGAGAGTCACAGGATGTATGGGACAGTGGGGGCAGTGGGGCAGCGAGCATGAAGGTTCCACTTTGAAGTTTGTTTGTCCGGCAGTAGCAATTGATGAGAAAATTACATTCTCCGCCACTTCTCCTCCTCCCTTAACATCCTCAACTTGCTGCTGCCTCCTCTGTGTCACACTTCACTCTCAGGAATCTAATTTTAGCTCTATTCAAAACTTCACTTCCCTTGATCCTTGAGCTGTTGTTTGAATTGTCTAAAAGGTGAAAGGAAAAAGGTGTCTTTGGTTAACAAATCCTATCTTTTCTATAGGCCTCCTCCTCTCAGTGCACCACAGCCATGTTAACCTCAGAGAGGTCACCGCAAAGCGCAGGGGTCGTCATCGCCGCAACGATGCCAGAGACACAGGACGTAGATATGACGTCATGGAGCGAGGCAGACTTTGAGGAGAAGTGCACTTATATTGTGAAGGACCAACCTCTGGAACAGGAGTCCGAAAACCCCGGGAGGACACGAGCTGAGAGATCCTTACCCAGAAACCTGGCCCTGAAACGCTGCCACAGCTCAGCAGAGGTAACGCAGCAAAGCAGACTCCTGTATTGGCGTAGTTGGTGGAAGAAAATGGATTCATAAAGAGTTGTTTTTAAAAAAAATCACAAAAGAAAAATGATGCAGAAAAACAATCAAACAGATTTCTTACATATCTCTAGGCAATATATCAAAGCGGTATGTAAGCATGTGCTGTCGCTGTTTTATGTTTTGTGTTACTGCCGACTCCTTGCGTCACTCCAGCTTCCTTCCATGCCCTCATCCATCCTCAGGCGGGAAGTACTTGACATGTTGTTGTCTAATTTCAGCCTTTCCTCTCTGCTGTGTATGTGTTGAGTCAAAGACAGGGACAATAGCCAAGCCCGTCAGCACACTGCCTGAGGTCTTTGTGATTAGCAGCTGCCTCAGATTCTCAACCACCTTTGTCTCCAGCACACAATTACACTGTGAAGCAAAGCCAAGTTGCTGGGAGTCCACCTTATGGACAACACTGGAAATGATCCTCCGGATTAAGTGCGTGGCAGTTACAGTGGAGGATGTTTAACTGGACTGACGAGGAATAGGTCACAGATGAGGATGAGTGTGGTGAATGCAAAGATAAAAGATGAATCCAGTGTGGATTATTCATGAAGAGGAAACCGTTTCCTTATGCAAGATTAGGCCTGAGTGTCTGAGGATGAAAGATGGTAATCAGGTGAAATCAGCGGAAGTAGTGCAGAATACCTGCACTACCACTTGACCTTCTACTGAGGTCTGTCTGGAGTCTGGTTAACACCAAAGAACAGGATAGGTTACTATAACCTCTGACACTAGAGCCGTAACACAAAGCCAGTACAAGCAAGGGTAAAACCAGCAGAATAAACCGTATGACTAAACATGTAGTGATTGATCCTGCAGACACATACACTATGCCAGTGTTGCTCAAAGATGAAAGAGAGAATACATTACCATTGCTTCAGGGGCGGGGGTTTGAACACAGAGCTGAAGGTGCAGTTGACTGGTCGGGGTGTGCCCATGACACCTTATCCTCTCTTCCCCACCCTGGAGGCTTGATACAGAGGGGTGAGTTTCACACCTGCAGGTAGCGGAACAAGAGTAGTGGTGAAATTTTAATATGGTATAGAAACTAAAGATAATTCGGGTGATTGGCTTATGAAATATTCAGCATGCGAAGGAAGGAGCACGTTCTGTCACAGCCCTGCAAAATTCTCATTCTGTCCGTGGGAGTTTCACCGCGACAGTCAAAAGGAGCTGATTGCTTGATTCCTTATTTCCGGTAATTCTGGAGGTGCAATCAGGTGAACTGACCTTATCCTTCTGGTTACAAAACACACAGGGTGGGGGTGGGGTGGGGGGGTGGGGGTGGGTCAGATAAGGAAAGCCTGTATTCCCAACAATCTCATCCCTCTAATTATGTTTTTCAACTCAGTGTGTCCGGCTCTGCTCGCTCAAGCCTCCAATTTGTGAGCTGCTCTGTGGTTTGATGATTCCATGTCCTCCTTGTTGAACAGGTGCTCGGGGTGACCAGTAAGGAGATGATTCCTAAGGGGACACGTTTTGGCCCTCTGGTGGGAGAGAGCTACACCAAGGAAATACTGCTGACAGGCGCCGACAGGAAGTACTTCTGGAGGGTAAGTGAGCTGCATGTGAGTCTCTGGATTTGTGTTCGTGCATGTTTGCGTTTCAGAACCGTTCACATCCTGTATCTCCGTCTGGAGATGCTGCTGTGGCTGTGGTGTGGCATGAGCTAACCGTTGCGGTCAGTACCTGACATATGTGACTCTGTCTGCCAGTGCTTATTTACCTTTAAATGTCACCCAGTGAAATGGGTTGTACAAGTGCATGCACAGTTTTCCAGGCCTGTGCACGGCTGTCTGAGGTCACACACAGCTGTTTGGTTTCAGTGACGCAGCGGTTCTCCTCTATCTCCGCTCTCTCTCAGCAGTGGTATCTCTGCCAGTAAATACACCATACACATGTCCGCACTTCTCCAGAGTCACAAACTCTCACACTGACTAAGCAAGGAAGTGGCTTTGAGCCTGAGAACTGCTCTGTTACGAATCAGCAGCATCAGGACATCTTCCATTACACACACAGGCGCCTGTGTAGGTCTACAGTTTAGAGTCAGCAACCTTGAAATCATGCAACCCCGACCAAAACTTGCAACAGCCATAACACAGACAATCTGTTAACATTACAGCCATGACTCAAGCAGCTTCAAAGAGCAGATAGTATAAAGAGCAGTTTTGTATGAGAGAGGGAGGGATAACTCTTTAAATGAGCAGAATTGCTTTTGAAAAGGTCAGCAATCGCACAGGATGATGCAGCGATGTGATCGGTGAGAGTAGTCGTGGGCGGGATAGTACACCCAATACTACAATCCAGTCATACAGTGAAATTCGTGTTCAGAGTTGCTTTCGTAACTCTAAATGACTTGTGAACTGGCGCTGATCTCAGCTGAAAGATCACACAGCACTTACCATAAAGGCATCGGGGGACCTGTGACATCATGGTTTCAGATCCAGAGCCGTGTCACGGCTGTCGAGTTTTTCACCATCAACTGAAATTATCTCACATCTCGTTGATCTCTGTGGTTCTCTCAACATTTGCAGGTCTTCTCGGAGGGGCACTTGCGCCACATCCTTGATGGTTTGAACGAGCAGCGCAGCAACTGGATGCGCTACGTCAACCCAGCCTGCTCAGTGGAGGAGCAGAACCTGGTCGCGTGCCAGAGCGGTTTGGACATCTACTTCTACACCATCAAACCACTTCAGCCGGGCCAGGAGCTACTGGTGTGGTACTGCCCTGAATTCGCCCAGCGCTGTAACTACCCTCCTCTGGGCCAACTGGCTATTGACAGTGTTGGTGAGTGCGAATGTATTAGTAGTATCTGTGTAGGAAGGTGTAAGAACCAAGTGCGCCTGCAGTTAACAGAAACTATTACTGAGCCCACGCTTTCAGACATATCTCGTGGGCATTGTCATTGTGGAGTAAGGCAAAGCGCCGGCCGACTGACAGAGCCTTTTGTCTGGGTGTTTAAGAAGTTACTCAGTCACACCCACAGCCCCTTTTGTCAAGGCTGAGCACAAAGGAGGAGAGTAGAGCCCTGAAAGCAGAGAGGACCTGTCTCCAGGTGTGTAGCCATAGTACCTGAGTAAGATGAGACCAATTCCAGGACTTTAGCTAATGTTTCAGTTTCCCTTTTTTTTTCTTTTTTAACACCATATAGAAACACAGCTGGCAGCGGCATTCACAAACCAAACATTTGGCGTTCATTCACAAACACAATGAGTGCACATGGTAGGTCTGCATGCGTGTGAGCGCGCACACACACACACACACACACACACACTCCAAAATACTCATTTACATACACTGCTCACACACATGCTCACACACACACACACACACACACACACACACACACACACACACACACACACAAGAGGCTGCCTGAGGTGCTGACAGCATTCTGGCACAAGTCCCCCTTATTTATTTGGCTCTTAAGGAGGAAGAGAGGTAGGAAGCGCTCCAGTGACTACTTGAACTTCCTGACAAGGCAAGCTGCTGACAGATTGATATCTCACTGAGTGGCAGCTATTTGTTTGGTGAGAGCTGGCCTCTCAGGAGAGGGGTGGGGACGGGAACACAGGGGAGCACACGGTAGATAAGGGTTGCTCTGTGTTTGTGCGGGTTGACGTAAATTGTGTCAGAGAGGAGGTGAGACGTACATTGATACTTACTTCTGTATTTTGTCTTCCTCTGTTTGTGTCTCTGCTTGGTGCTTATAAAGAGGAAGGATTTGCTCATTTGAAATATAGACTTGGAGCCAGATTTCCTAAACATGACCAGTATGTAGATTTCAGTGGAAAAAAAATATTATGTATAAGGTCAGTTGATGCGTTGTGACTGGTCTAGTTTCCATTCTGTTAAGCACCTTTTTAGGATTATTTATGTCTGGGGGGAAACCTGTGGTTCATCAGTCACGTTCAAATGTGAAGTTGTTTCTCATCCTGTGTATATCCGGTCCTGCCTGGCATAGAAAGTACACTTACAACTGATCAGCCCTCTAATGCACTGACTGCTGTCCTCCATGCTATCTGTATCCTGATCAGACGCCTATTGTTTCACTTGTGGTGTCCCGTTTCATAGGGTGCCAGGAAGAAGTCTGGCAGACAGGCTCACACACCTGATAAAAAAAAAAAACACACACACACGTTTATCTTCTAATCTTTAAAGCATAAAGCAACAGGTTGGACCAGAGTAGGTATCTTTGAAAGTAAAGATGCATGGTGATTTCAATGAAGGACATGAGCGCGCGATCGCGTCAATGTCATGGGGTGTAGGTGTCAAGCAGTTCAGTGGCAATATGACTCACCTGTTTCTGACGTCATTTCTCCATTTTTTTATTTGTCTCACAGAGCAGAGTCAAGCCCAGGAGAAAACAACAGCGAAACGAGGACACAGCGTCTCAGAAATTCTTCAAGATGAGCCCTCCAGATCCCCGACTGCCTGCCCCAGACGTCTGTTCAGCCCCTTATCTCAGGCTAACCTCTCAGCAGTTTTTCCCTCGTGTCCTCGTGTTGTCTACCCAATCCAGCCCGACTCAGACTCTATCCACGGCCATAGATATGCGCCTCTGCCATCCCTGCCATCCTGCGGCCCTCCGGCTGCCAAAAGGCCAGCTCTAAGTCGTCCTGTTCCCTCTGTTTTGCACTTCAGCTTTGAGCACAGTCAAGGCCCTGTTACAGCCAAACCTTACCAGGAGCCCTCTGTGCCTGATCGTGTTCACCCTGCTCTGAGGCGCAGTCCCTATTATCTGCCTCACTACTCGCCCGGCCTTAACAGCATTCTACCTCATTCATACCCTTTCTACAGTGATCGACTGAAACCTCACGTAACACTCTCATCTCATTTACTGCCTTTTGACAGCTATGCACACCTACTCCATCCTCTAGTCAACGGACACAAAGACTTGACACTTGCACTATCCAGTACCAAACAAGACCTCATTCTTTCACCAATCAGTGAACACCAAGACAACAAGGACCTCATATCCAACAGGACTAACTACCTCAGGATCCCCTCAGATGACCTCAGAGATTTCAAATACTCCCCTCCCAGCAACGTCCACGCAGACCTCACTATACCCGCCACATCCAGTGCCTCATCCATGGTCACCTCACCCCGTGGAGCATTGCCCTCTCTTGCACCCGGAGGATGCTCACCACCGGTAGGCATGGCTGCCTGCTCAGATTTCCTCCCTTCCAAACCCACCTCTGCCACACAGGGTAATACTGAGGACGCGATTGACCTCAGGAAGACCAAACAAGGAGGGCAGATCATTGGCTACAAGACTCTGTCTTACCCTCTCACCAGGCAGAATGGAAAGATCCGCTATGAGTGCAACGTCTGTGGAAAGGTCTTTGGGCAGCTGTCCAACCTCAAGGTTAGTTCCTCTTCATCAAATTAAAGAACGGTGGGAAAAATGCCAGAATTAACCAGTCTCCATGGTTCCTTTAGCTGACGTGAATAAACGTAAATACTCATCTCTGACATGCTGTTCTCAGGTCCATCTGCGAGTACACAGTGGAGAGCGTCCCTTCAGGTGTCAGACCTGCAACAAGAACTTCACTCAGCTGGCTCACCTGCAGAAACACTACCTGGTTCACACGGGAGAGAAACCACATGAGTGCAAGGTAGGGCTACAGCTGTTTAAGAAATAGTTCATCATTTAGGGAAACACATCTATTTGCTTCCTTGCTGAGTGTTGGATGAGAACATTTACACCACTCTCACAGCTGTATGGTGAATATGTAGCTGGAATTAGCAGCCAGTTATCTTATCTTAGCATATCTCATTTGTTCAATCTGTACAGAAGAGTAAAACCAAAAAACTCATTGTTTTATGTTGGATTATGTGTTTGTTTATTTCTTGGCCCGGATCACCATGTAAGCCCCATAAAAACAACAAAAAAACCCCCATAGGAGACACAACTATTGCTTTAATGTCCATAAATGATCCTTAAAGTTAAGGCAAGTCTTTAGGTTAAGTGTCAAGGTATTTGACACAGATTTCCATTACGTTACAGAAGTATGACTTAGACAAGAAAGTGTAAAAGTAAAAAAAAATTGTAAAAAACATTATAAAAATGTCTTGGGTTTCTGTTTTCACAAAGGTGTGCCATAAACGATTCAGTAGCACAAGCAACTTGAAGACCCACCAGAGGCTACACTCGGGTGAGAGGCCTTATCAGTGCAAGCTCTGCCCGGCCCGCTTCACTCAGTATGTCCACCTCAAGCTGCACAAACGCCTCCACAGCGGGGAACGGCCTTATCGGTGTCCCCGCTGCCCCTGTGCCTATCTCCACTACTGCAGCCTCCAGGTGCACCTCCAAGGCTTCTGCCCCCTCTCCCCCTCTGCCTCCCACAGACACTCGCCGGAGGAGCTACACCGAGTCAACTCCGAGCTCGAGAGGTTTGACGTGAGCGAGGCCGCTGAGCGGCTTGAGGCCATGGCTGCAGAGGCCGAGATGGACAAGGGGAATGTCACTGACCTAATACAGAAGATGGGGACTCACACCTCGGGCCACCAGGATGGCACCGGAGGGGAGACTGAGCTGAGCGTTTGCAAATCAGCAAAGGAGTGCTCTGGTGTTCAGCTGCGTCATGGCAGCCCTCTACCTCTGCATGCAACCAGCATCAAGCTGGAGTCAAGCTGCATATCAGAGCCCTAAGACGGCCTTGCTAATCCAGCCATATAATCCTTACAGGTCAACTCAGCAGCTGTCTGTTACTGCCCTATTTGAAGTGAAGCCTTATCTCAATCATGGCTTGCCTAGCCTATACTCTACAGAGACTATAGCCTGTGAAGAATCAAAACTTTACCAGCATGGCCCGTGACCTGTGACTTGATTGATTTAATGTGTGTTAATCTTTCCTAATTTATTCTGTTGCTAATATGAATCTAAACTGTATAAAAACACAGATTTGTGACATTTTTTATAATTTGTTTTGTATCTCTAGAACATCTTCATGGAACAACTAAACATGTGATTTATGCATAAACGAAATGTGTTTTTATATGTGGTCTCACTGTGTGAAGACTTAGTGTTTCTGTTTCTGTATGTGTGCGTATTTATGTTTACCAATTAAAGTGACGATTACCGTACAGACATGAGTATGTAGTGTAAATGAGTGTTGAGGTAATCACATAGAGGAAACATCAGGTGTTTGTGTGGTGCGTATGTAGAATACTTGCCTTTGTGTGACTGTGCTTAGCTGATGTGGGGTGTTTGTGACGTAGATAAACATCCTGTTATGAGTCTTGGGATATGCTCCCCCAGAGAAGTGTTAACCCTTTAACCCTGGAAAAACACCCACAGCAACACAAAGGACAAAATTATCTTCGCTATCAGTAAGATCCAGCTGCTAATTCTGTATAGACACTTCCATATTTTAGTTTCAGTATTAATCAGTTGACAGACAATAAACCCACAACAGATGACTGTATCTTATTCTGAAATATAAAAATACTGGTGTTAGATTACTTCTCTGTAGCACTTTGCTTAAAGAAAACACAAGCCAACTGTAAAAGGATAAAACTGACACGAGCACTAGCATTCTGTGAACCTCACATTACAACTTAAAAGGGTGTCAGGTGGCTTAGTGTTTCGAAGGGTATCCACTGATGAGACAACTTACAACATATAGAGCATGCAAGACACACTCGTGATCAGATCACAGGGTGCCTGCCAGCTGCTCTGTAGTTAGATCAGTATCAAGCATCTATCATTGGAAAATAAGTAAGATGTATCTGCAATGAAACATACGGGGATTTTAGGATTTAAAGAAGTGGTCAGAGGTGGAGAAGAGCTAATTTGTGTGGGGAGGTGAGCTGTGTGCAGGTGCAGCAACAGGAACAACCATGGGACGGTCAGCAGACTGATGCCCCTTTAACACCGCGCAGTGACGTCAGATATTTTTGACGGAGGGCAGGCAGCGGGAGAAGAAAGGAGCGGATGTACCCGGGGTGAGGGAAGATGCCCAGGATAATGTCACCGGGTGATTCTCTCTCCCACCTATTCACATCATGATAAACGCTGCCGGGGCGGTTGCCCGCAGGATGCCGTCGGCGGTCCGGCGGAGCGGTTGCTGGATAGCGTGGTGCCAGGCGGCGCTGCTTGGCGTGTCGGCGCTGGTTATCGTGGCCGAACGGAGCGCTCGTAAGTGGGCACAGAATTCCCAGCGCCGGGCTTCCGAGGGCTGCTGTTTGCTGGTGTAGCTACGAGCTGATACTGAATCTCTTGATAAAAAAATAATAATAATAACAGTGAAGGGAAATGTTTTGTTTTTGTGGAGTATTTTCGTTGGCTACAATGAATATAAAAAATGCTGTTGCACAGCCATGATGCTTCGTGCTGGAGCTCTTCCAGCTGCAGCCGTAGCTCAGGTTAGAAACACAATTCAAACGGTGATGCTATAGCACCGCCTTTAATAATGAATTAGCAAACCTAGCAGTTTAAAAAAAAAAAAGAAAATGCATAGCAATGCATTGGTTAGCCCAGTTGGGTTTGCCAAACTGGGGCCCCAGGACCTGCAGGGGTCATACAGCAGGGTCACACAAACAAAAAGAAAGATTAAATCTAATCATTCGTCAGTAAAGGCCTATCCATGGTACCTACAGGAATAATGCTCAACATTTACATTTCATTATTTACATTTACATTATTAAAATATTAGATGTTTTATTATTATTGATGATATTATTACTACTACTCAAGTATACCAATTAATGCACATCTGGAGTGTGTATAGAAAGCGCTTGGCAGCACAGGGCGATGATTCCCTGACTAAGCAGATCAATGGGGCAAGGGCAGGACACGAGAGAAACGAGGTGACTGGATCTGTACAGTGTCTGACTTTGTCCTCAGCAGATATACTGTACCACTCCTGTCTGTATATACCCACTGCTACACTGGAATTAGCCTGTCACAGAAATATAGGGTGCTTGTTAAAATGATCAATGTGTGATGCACTTTCTGGTCCTTGACAAGTTAGTATTTTACAAGAGTATATCTCCTCTTTCTTGGTGTTGCTTGTATCATCTCATTAGAACAGCTTCCTCGTGAATTAAAGGACAATTCACCAGAGCAAGGCGTATGTGCTCTTTAATTTCTCAAGGACTCTGCTGCCGGTCTCTGCAGCTCTCACCAAATCCTCACACATATGCTGGGTTGTATGTACTGTGTTTCCTGCATGACTACATGATAAATAAGACTGTATTTACGTTTGTATCTGTTGTGTGTGTGTGTGTGTGTCTGTGTGTTCATGTGTGCTTGTGTTTAGTGATTTACTGTATAGGGTTTTACCTTTGGAATGAGGAGACGCAGTGGGCGGGCCTCACTCTCGGCCTCTTTCTACCGGGGACAGCAGTTCAACTGCTAAGTGTGAAATGGTACTATGATGATGGTGATGACAGGCGATGCTACCTCTCTGTCATACACATACTGCACCTGGGCATCTTCAAAAGGTGAGCTCTTCCCCTCTCCTGATATTATGAACAAATATAATGCGATTTACATATTTAGAATATATCTTTAGGATGTAATGCAGTTGTGCCCTTGTAGGAAACAAACCATTAACAAAAGTAGTTTTGTGCCCTGTGCTATAAGAACAGTGGGTGACACTTCATTCCCATCAAAGGGCACAGTAAAAATGACATTTGCATCATTCTGTCATTGAAACCTTCACCTGGAGGTTACTTGTCATTACTTTGGTGTCTGTCTCTGGCCCCCTCTCCTGGCAGGTTATGGGACTGTATGAGGTCTGTGTTGCGCATGCAGGGCTCAGTGGCTGAACTCGGAGCTGCTGTCATGCAGCAGGCAGATGTTGCTGCCCTTTGGCTGCTGGAGGCCCTCGTGCTCACACTGCCTCAGAGCCTGCTGCAAGCGTATGTCGTCGTGTCCACTGATGTGGGCATCATGTCACCAGGTAAACTTTATCGCTTTATTGGATCTACATGATGCTTGGGACATGTTAAGTGTTCTACACAGTATCTGAATAAGAGATTATCTTTTTCATGCTTTCTTCTTTTTCTTTTTTTTTTACCTTCAGTGGCTTACTGCTGCGGTCTGTGTGTGCTGTCTATATCCTGGGCCCTGGTGCTGTACAGCAGAGCGTGCTGTCTGATCCGACCAGGCCACCTGGCCATGCCTCCGGCAGCCCTGCTGTGCCAGCTGGTGTGGAGGGCAGGCATGCTGGGTGCCAGGGTGACTTGCCTCATGTTCTTTGCCAGGGTGTTTAACTGGTGGGTCTGTGGAGTAGCAGGTGAGCACTTAAGCCTGACACCTTTTGAAGGGAGGAGAAAGGGTGAAATGTAATAATAGTATAATAACATAATATACAAATACAAATAAAGGTGCAAGAGCCTCAATGACTAATTGAAGTAGCGATTCTTGTATTCTGCATGACCCAGAATTTATAAATAATAAATTTATTATTTTACATTTGAGTTAATGAATGATGTAATTATCCTCAGAGTGATGCAGCATGTCCTCTTGATCCAGTTTCTCAGTTTCTCCTCTGCAACAGCTTGATACACTGTATACGGATCCTCTTATTGCGCTTGTACCTTCTTGTCTATTTTTACGTCGACCTCCAGGTTTCCACTGGCTCACAGCCTCCTTCTGGCTGGTATCACAGCAACCAGACATCTGCACTGGCCCATGGTGCTGGCGTGCCTTTAATGGCATCATGGGGCTCGTCCACGTCTTCCTCTTCCTCAACGTCAAAGATGGACCCTCGCGCTTCCGCATGGGCAGCTTTTATGCAGTAAGGCATGGCTTTGAATGAAAATGCTCTTCTTTAACTTGTTTCTGCTGCGTTTAATCCTGGTGTCTGTTTTGCAGAAGGCATATACACACACATATACACACACATAGGCAGGTAGTTTGCATTGTCATCCTGCCCTCTGTGTCCTTAGTTTACAGTGACGTAAACCTGTCTGCAGCTGACTGATGGTTTGACCTTCTCTCCTCCCTCAGTTCATGCTCGTAGAGAACGCCACTCTGCTGCTGGCCGCCTCCGACTTCCTTAGTGAAGCATCATGGGACAGCATGACCCTTCCCACCACTGTGCTGTGTAGCTTTCTCCTCGGTGAGTCACCCTCTCTATCTGCGCTCTCTTCATTTTATGACAGATTTGTCTCAGTTGTTTTGATAGTCATTGCTTATAATTAGACTAGATTCAAAATAGTTTGTGTGGTATGTGAGTAATATAACGCCAATGGTGATTCAAATAGGTTAAAAGTAATTCTGAGTAGAACTACACAGCTGTCTGTGTTGTTGCATTACACACAGAAAGCCCTTTAAGTCCTACTCGTTAAATAATAGCAATAGTACAAACAGAATTGGTGATATAATGCAGTTTTACCATCCAAGATATACATGTATTTGGACTATTGCTTGTGACAGATGTAACAAAACATACTCAGTGTACTAACAGCAAGTATTTCCTGTCCCTGTGCTTCCCAGGTGCTACCTCTCTTGTTCTGTACTACCGATTCCTCCATCCCAAGTCCACAGAGATCTCCCAGGGTACCAACCACAACCACATGGGCAGCACATGTATAGAACAGGGGGAATCCTCCTTCTCTCTCGGGGACAAGAGCCTGCCAGCCCCCTCCATTCAAAACCATGGCAGCTTCTCCCTCTCAGGTGTGGCTGGTACGCTGCTGGAGCACCCAGGAACCTGTGGAGGCCGGCCTAACAGCTCCTGCCCTTGCTACCACCACCACTGGCTCTTGATCCGACTGGCCCTTAAAACAGGAGACCTGGGCAAGATCAACAGAGCGTACGGGGCTGGCGGAGCAGCAGCCATACTGGACATGGACGAGTACAACCAAGAGTTTAAGAGTAACGAGGGCATGACGATCACAGCAGGAGGCAGCTGTGACGCCGTCTCCACCTCCGAGTCTCAGGGGAAAGGCCTGGCACCGCTCTCGGACTGCAAAGACGAGTTCCAGAGCGTGAGCGAACCCTCGTCGACCGATCGACCTGAAGAAGAGGACGACAGTCTGGAGATGGAGAGCCCGCTGGAATCACCCGAATCAGATTTTAAACGCAGCTCACCAGAGGGAAAGTCTATGTTTGGAGACAGTCCAGAGCCATATTTCTGCCCCACAGAGTCTAGTTCAACCCTGTATTTCAGCGCTGACCCTCAGTCTCCCAGCAGTGCCAGTAACCCCCGTTTGGACAGGGACATAGGGGGTCTGGATCAGGGGGTTCGCCTCAACTCTGTCCCTAGCGATCCAGCCCTTCACAGAGACATCCGTGGGCTCATGGGCCGGGTCGGGCCGCGTTGCACTTCGACTCCTAAATTGGACTCTGGAGTGCTGGACTCTCCGTCCAGTGTCCCTCATCTCACAGGTCCCAGGAGGCAGCTCATAATGTCCCGAAGAGATGAAGATGACAACTTCTAGCTTTCTCATGACAGAATCAGGGAAAGAGTAACAGCAACTTATCCAGCGTTAAAGGAGTACACCAGCTTTTTGGAAGGCTGCTTTTTCATCTTCCTAGTGTTGTAGGATGAATCAGCTTGCATAAATTTCAACCTTGTATGCCTATATATGTAGTACACTGTGGGCATAGTATATGCAAAAAATTTGGGAGAATGCTAAGCTAGCCTGCACTCTTCTCAAATCATAAGCTATTTTTTAAAAGCATTGCTTTGCCCAAATACCAATCACAGTGGTGAAGCCTTCAGCAGTGCTTTCATCTGACATCAAGAAGATATTAAAGAGCTAATTAGTGGTGTATGGCGCTCAGACACACCTTCTACCTGATGTTAAACTTTTTTTTTTTCATTCTTTTTGCAGCAGTTAACATCGTACTGTGCAAGAACACTGGTTCTGCCATTGTAATTACATGTTAAGGAAGTAGCCATGAGTCATATCAATCAATAAGCGTCATTAAAATTATGCAGCTGCTTTACAATCTCAGACAGCAGATGATTTCTATAATACAAATAGAAACTGCTGTTATTCAGTCGCCAGCAGTTAAGAGAATAGAGAAATGAATCCTAGATCGAAAGGGTGTCTGACCTTTGAATATTAACCATCTCAGTGTAAGCCGGAGCTTTGTTGGCTTCTTAAAAGCACAAGTATCACCTGTATCATATTGCTGTGATTTTTTTGTTATTCCCATATAAAAAAAAAAAAAAAAAAAAAAAATCCCAGTCCCCTCAGAGAATAATATACTGTATTTTTTTGTATAACCATGTCGACTGACATTGCTTTGAGCAGGGCTATATGTCAACCTGGCAAAACTGTGTTTGATGTTTTATTTACATGTTGACCATGTATTTGCTGAAATGTTTTTGGAATTTACATTATGTTGGAAAAAAATATAATGTCTCAGGCAGTGACTTCAAATTCAAACGTCTGTTGTGTAACAACATGTAAAAAGATGCTCATAAGGTACTTGTAGTGACTTTTTTTAATGTGCTCTTGATCACTATTTCGAGGGGACAAATGCATTTTTGCTCATTACTATTCTGTAAAAGGGATGAAATCCACAAAGCAGTGAAGTGATGCTGGGTTTTCTCTTGCAGCCATGTGACTGCCTATATGACATTTTGAACTGTGAAGTGCAAGGCCACTGGTGGCTTTAAATAAGCAATAAATAGCCCACATATTGGGGTGACTGGAATACAAGAGTGTGCAGTTATTTAAGATTTAATCATGCTTTCATATTTATGCCTAAGTAAACATTTAAAGTGTGCACTGTGCTGTGATCACTCAGGTGGAAGTGGTCACGGTGCACTGAGCACGCCTTATTGTGTAAATGGCCTCAAAGAAGGTATTTATGGCACTCGCCCTTTAAGACGGCGCGCATGCGCACATCAGCCAGAAAGTTAACTCCTGAACTTCGTAGTCAGAAAAATTCAGATTTATAAAATAGCAGGGAAAACAGCAGTGAGTTGACATGGCATTTCGCCGAAGAAACAAGAGTTACCCTTTCTTCAGCCAGGAATTCTTAATTCAGAACCATGCCGACATCGTCTTCAGTTTTGTGATTTTCATTTTGATTGGATTGATGTTTGAGGTGAGATGAACTCTTTTCTTCCCTCGTCTCACTCAGCTGTTTTAAGATGGCAAGCCTGCTGCACATTCAAAGATGTAACTCAGAGCGAAGTTAAATGTTATTGGGTTAAAGGGCTTATAGCTTTGTTAGAAAAACATTTTTTCTTGTTTGACTGCATCTGAGCCTTGTGTTTTCAGTGTTTTCAGTCCCGCGGATATGGTGGCTGCTTGCAACAGTTTTTACAAGTTTACTGAACAATGAATGTTGCTCGGTTCGCAGCCAATGTAGCATCGTATGATGTAGACTGAGCTACATCAGAACACCAGGATATAAACTGCAACTTACCACATTTATTTCTAGTTTACATGTTAAAAAGTTCTCGATGTCTTGCTGCTAATACTTGAATTCCAAAAAGTTTCTTAAACCGAGGGACAATTGGAAAAACTCTTCTGTTGGCAAAGACATAGGTGACTACTCAAAAACTACTAAAAGTGATTCGTTTTTACTATAAAATTCACCTGTTTTACCCTCTTGGCAAAGTCTTGTTCCAGTTTCCAGCAAAGACAATCCGCTGCAACATTTTGATTCCAAAATGTATGTCACCAACCTATACAGCCAAATTTCGGTAGGAAATAAATCATTTTTGGCATTCAAATTAAAAGCCTCGCTGTTGCTCAGAACGAGTTCTAGAACAGGTCTGTCATTGTGAGTTTTATTTTGAAAAGCTTAAACGGAAGCGGTATGGCTTTTCCTCGCTAACTCTACGTTAGTCGTTAACTGCCACGTCTCAATCTTTGAGCCGCTGCTGCAGGCTGCCGTGGACTCAGCTGTTCTGAAGGCTGCCCTGACCTGAAGGGATTTCACCACTGACATACACTGACTGAATTAATCAGGTGTTTCACTTACTAACAGCTTCTCATACTTGTGCACAAGCAAGACTTCCAGGCCGCCGGTCAGGCATTTAGCATAGTTTCAGTCCGGAACCATGGTTGTGATAACACAGCTGGCCGAGTAAAAAAGAAGCAGGGGATTTCCTTAATTTTTCTCGGTTCCGAAAAAGAGAACAAGAGTGCTGCAGCTGTTCTTGAATTTGAGATTTTGGTGTTGACAAGTCACCTGTATGGCCTTGGCGCTCAAGGAATGACTGGTGACTTCTTGCACTGTGGTGCCCAAACAGGCGACTTGAGATAGGATTTCTCAACAGGGATGTATTATAACATACCTGGAATTGATTGAGATGAAATGTTATCATATCTTTATTTTTATAATTTGATCACCTGTGATTTTGATGCAGGGGTTCCCAACCTGATGGCACCTCTCCAGGGGTCACAACTTGATTATCTGGATAAGAAAGACATCAGAGGCACAAAAAGTTAATTAAAAAAGAACAAAAAAAACCCAACACTTTTTTGATCTTTGTAGTGTTAAAACAATATGTTTATTCATAAATCCACAACAATTTTGACAGTTTTTAATTTCTTAAATAATTCATCAAGAAAAATGTCAATTATGCCTACTTTCAGCTTCCAGCCTCACAAATGTGAGGACTTGCTGCTTTTAGTTGTTTTGTAAATTGACTTTGCGTTTAAGAGGCAAAACAAGAAATTAAAGACATCACCTTGGGCTCTGGGAAATTTTGGTGGGCACTTGCTCTATTTTTTTTTTTTTTTTTTTTTTTCAGTTCCACAGACTAAACAATTAATGACAGAGAAATCAATTATTCGGTAATGAGTATTAATCAGTAATGAAAATAATCCAAGTCTTTGCTAATTTGTTTTTAAATCCTGGAAAGTTTTACCCTCTCAGGCCTTTGATGGTTATTCAAACAATCGGAGAAGTGAAAATCCCACTTTACCTGAACACACATGCAACCCTTCACAAGGTGCCACATGTAGACGTTGCTGTGTTATGAGAAGCCACAAACAAAAAAACGATTGGGGATGCACATCTGTCTTTATAGGGGATGCCTGACAAAATAATTTGGGAATCTCTGTTACAGGCTCCATATCCCAGGGCGATACAAGCCTTATCATGCCGACGGATGTTTCAGCAGCACACCTGAGGGAATTCACCTCTTTGTGGCTAATTACAATGCCAGGGGGAAGCTGTACTGACAATATTGTAAACAGCATTATGTATTCTGAAAAGCTTCAATTCTTACTCTCTGTCCCCCTACACACACTCGTCACACACCCACACACATCCTTTTGATGACACCCGGATGGCCGGCTTCTTGAGGTTGCGTTCGGACTGAAATACGCTGTTAATCACTATCTCATCTCATTTCCAGGCTACAGCCAAGACGGCCATACTGTTCATTCAGCCTCAGTACAATGTCACCACACTATCACCAGGTATGTGCTGCAGTTGAGGAAGTATTATTATTATTAAAGACTCATTTTAATTCACAGTGAATTACCTATTTACCTATTTTGACTCGTAGGCATTCCTACAGTTTCACTTCTGTTGCTGTTGTTCCTGCGTACTGCATTACTGTCAGTGAAGTGTCATTACGTTGCTCCAGGATGTTTAACACACCTCTGATTGCAAACATGCTGTGTGTGTTTGACCCCTCCTATGTGTGCTCAGAGGGAGAGGTGACGTTTTACCATTACGGATGGAAGGACTGTGCCACCATCCTCTTCTATTTCTTCATCGCCATCATCCTCCATGCGGTGGTGCAGGAGTATCTTCTGGATGTAAGTACCCTTATCAGTGTGGCTCAGGGCATCAGTCAATCACATGGGGTGACATGGGAGATGTCATAGAAAGGTGAAGTTACTCTGTGGCTCTCAGAGCGATTCCCTCAGCATTTTGCCAGCAACACACACTGATTATTTTCAAGAGACACTGAATTTTCTTCTCATTACCTGGAAAGAAAATGCAATTGCAAAAATGATAATTTCTACGAAAGAACGGCTCCATTTAAACCCAAATAAATACATTCATTGATTTATTATTGGAAACAGGTGAATAAAAAACTCTCCTACATTATGCAAGGTTTAGTTTGATATAAATAAATGCAAGTGTGTCAATTGAAACCTCCATTTCGAAGATAGTTAGTGCCAAATTGTAGTTCTTTCCAAGAAAATTGGAAATTGCAGACCTATAAAACATAGTGTTACAAAAATAAGTTATCAACAAAGCTGGATCTTGATTCCTTCAATGTCACCTGGTGATGATGATGATGATGATGATGGTGATGAGCCTGGAAAATACTTAAAATATATAAGAGGTCTGGTCCGGTTACTGTTCCCACAGTGGCACAGGAGTGTGCTATTAATATATTCAAGGATATGAAGACACTGTATACTGAAACCAGGATATGAGCTATTTCCCCCTTAAGGTGTTTGCACACTGATACTTCCACTTTGAGGCACATTACAAAGAATAGGTCAAAACCTACCACATCAAAAGCATAGGGGCAGTATGAGCCAGTGTGCTGACTGTTTCATAGACTAAGTCGGGCTGAAAATGGGCTGACATTGCTCCGGTGCTCTTGTTGTGGAGACAGGAAGAGAGAGGGGTAGCATTTGATCTATCTGAAAGTATGAGCCCTTGTGTCATTGTTTAGAAATAGGCCAGCGAGGACGGATTGGAGGTTTTATTTTAGCTCCATCACCACGGTTTTCTAAAACGTCTTGAAAGGAATACCGCTTCAGCAACGGCCATAAATAGTATCGGCTGTCTTTTCTTGTCCTACTTATTTGTGTTACCGTGACTCTTCCTTGTGCATGACAATGACATGCCACCCATTCTGACTGGATACAGCTGCACTCACACGATCTGCTGTGTTGTTCCTGTTGCAGAAAGTGAACCGGCGTCTCCACCTCTCCAAGAGCAAGAATACCAAGTTTAATGAGTCGGGTCAACTGTGTGTGTTTCACTTGGTGTCTAGTGTGTGGAGTTTTTACATTCTCATAACAGTAAGTGAGACTTCACCATGATGACTCATATTATATTGTATTGTGTGACAACTGCCCAGTTAAGGAAATGTCACATATTTATTAATACATATCAAAGACGACTAGTGTATTTACTTTGAGCACACACACAAATGAGCGACAGTAATGAAGCATTTTGAAATGTCCCTCTTTTTCATTTCCTCACACAGGAAGGATATCTCCTGCATCCCAGCAGCCTTTGGGAGAACTATCCCCATGTACACCTCAGGTATGACTGATGTGTACCATGCACTGTCAGTGATATATCAACATGAGATCAGTAATATTGGCAAAAAGAATATGACATGGTTTATAATTGGTTTGTATTATGTTTTTTTTCCTCATTAAAATACATTTGATTAACAGTAATATAGTTTTAGATGTTTACACATAAACTTATTAAGTTTAATTTGCTAATTAATTTTTGGTTGATCAATGCACTGACTAATAACCATTAGCTCTACCGTCTACCTTTTTTAAAATGCACCTGCATTTTGCAGAACGTTTACAGATAATTTAGTGACCTTAGAGCATGGTGAGGTGTCTGTTCCTTTTGCAAAAGTCACATATCAAACTCCTGCTGATTACCTTCTTTTTTTTTTTTTAAGAAGATTACATAATTTTGTCTGACTTGTGGCTGGATTCATCTGCAAGGAGCAAACATTAACTGTGGGCCTCAATTTAGATTAACTACAATTTAATTAAAGAATATGCACAATATGAGCTTGATATCCAGTGAAATATTAAAGGTATTATATTATAAAGGTGTCCTCTATAAAAATGCAGGAGCTGTCTTAAGGCCCTTACCAACTCAGTTAGTGTCATAGCTCCCACACAGTGAATCTAAGGACCTTTGCGGGGGGGCCCCTAGTTTCTTGCTTTGACCGGTTTGTATTTCAGCTTTAGTCGAGCAGTAGTTTGTCTTTTATCATCATTTCCTTACAAGTGTAGCCTTCTAAGAAAGTCTTCTGCATACACCTTGCACACTTTGCAGCTGTGTGAAGGGGATTAAAAATAACAAATTTAATACAGTTAAATGAAGTGCACTTAACCAGGTTTCTTTCTTTTCACCGTTGCATAGTCAGGCGAAACGGATCAAATTGGGAATGTGTCACTGTGGCAGCGGTGATAATTGCACTGACGTTCTCCGGCGTTCCTTCTGTCTGTCTGTATTTCTGGTTTAGGTTTCAGGTGAAGTTTTTCTACCTCACTCAGTTGGCCTACTGGCTCCACGCCTTACCGGAGCTCTACTTCCAGAAAGTACGCAAGGTTAGTAAGGAGGCCCTGGGGACTAGAAGAGTTAAGAAGTGTGACTAGAAAAGCTGCGCGCGTGTGTGTGTGTGTGTGTGTGTGTGTGTGTGTGTGTATATGTTCTGCATGTATGTGCATTAGACGGAGAATGAGGAAGAACAAAAGGCTATAGGATTTAAAATACGGTCCAGTGCCTTTGCTAATAAAGGCTGTTTGTTTTTCAGGAGGAGATTTCTCGCCAGCTGCAGTACATCTGCCTGTATCTGCTGCACATCTCTGCAGCCTATTTGTTAAAGTAAGCATTCGACACAGAGACCCTTTTGAAAACTTGCAAACTCAAAGTTTTATCCGGAAATACGCATGGATAGTGAGAAAAGAAACAACAAACAACGATGAAGCATTGCAAAGTTCAAAGTCCCGTGTGAACCTCCCTAAATCAGCTAGTGACCTTGAAATGTATTTCTCTGCAACAGCCGATTCCTCTGATGTTCTTGTTGCTTTACTCCTGTTGCTGTTACAAAAAAAAAAAAAGATGCTGAAATGCGATTTATCAGCAGTCTGAAAATGTATCACTTCCAGGGATGCTCACCACTGTTTTGTTATTTCTTTTGTCACCTCCGCCTGACCTGCCTTTCTCTGCCCTTCTCTGCCTTCCTGTGTAGTTTGAGTCGTGTGGGTCTGGTACTCCTCTTCCTCCAGTATGTGTCAGAGCTGGGCTTCCACATCGCCAGACTCTTCTACTTCACTGATGAGAACCATCAGAAAATGTAAGTTGCCTCACTGGGTTTAATGGTTTTGGCTTTGTAGAATATTTGATTTGACTAAAAGACTTATTGATATATATTCTTATCACAAACATTTCTCCCTGGATGTCCTCTTCTCCTCCCTAAGTGTTTTCAGTGTTTTTCACCTTTTACAGTTCATTTTATTGGAGTTGATTGGTTTTGTCTCAGCACTTTCTTTTTTTATTGACCGTAACTTCCCTGTGTGTTGTGCTTCAGGTTTGACCTGTGGGCGGCCAGCTTTGTGTTTACACGGATGGTCACTCTGACCCTGATGTTCCTGGCTGTGGGGTTTGGTTTGGCTCGCGCCGAGAACCAGGGGCTGGACTGGGAAATGGGCAACTTCAACACTGTACTGATTAGGTAAAGCCGTATCTGAGCAGACAATAGTCAACAGAAAAACATGGCTTATCTCCTATGGGGGTGGGTAATGATTTATTTTGTGGCACTGCTGTTACATTTTGCAGCTATTGTATCAACTACACAGTTAAAATACACATAGCCCATAAAAAAGTGTTGAATTTTTCATGTTTTATTGTTTTACAACATAAGAGCATATTGACAAAAAAGGATTTCAAAGTAAAAGCAAATCTCCACAAATGATTTAATGTGGTTTTATAAGTCAAAATTACAATATTATAGAAGCATGAGTCATTAAAGCTGCAGTTATAGTATGACTTGTCTGAACATTCATTAAGGATATCTGATCACAAACAGGGGCAGCGAGAGCAAATGAAACTGTTAAAACAGTAGCCTAGATCTGAGCCTTGTTTCCTGAAGAAATGTAAGAAATGTTCTTCAGATCCAATAGCGCATGCAAGGCCAGAAAGTAATTCCATTAATTCAGCACACACAATGCCAGGCCCATTTTCCAAAACACACACTTGTACTAATCTTCTTGCCTTGGGCCCCTTCAGGATGACTGTTCTACTGCTGGTATGTTTGACCCAATCTTGGCTGCTCTGGAAGTTTATCCGCTTCCAGCTGAGGCGCTGGAGAGAGTTCAGACACGAACAGGCTGTTCGCAAGAAGGCAGCCCCAAAACAACCCCTACGGACACTGAAGAGAGACTCGCGTGAGTATAAACACCCAGTCGAATGTGTTTCGTAATAACACACTGATGCTGACTCATCTATTAACAAATGGCTACAGATGAGAAAGGCAATAACAGTTGCACAATATTGCAATTTTCAGGAATGTGGCTTGTCATGATTCCTTACTTAAAACACCAGCTCACACTAAATGTCAGACATGCTCTGCATTGGTAGACACCCTGACTTCTCACTTCTCTCTTCTTCTGCCAGTTGGCCACCATGAAAACGGAGTTCTGAAGGCTGAGAATGGAGCCTCTCCTCGGACCAAAAAACTGAAATCCACCTAAGATAATGCACAGACTGGCCTGAACAGCGGCCTTAGCCCAGGCTAAGGTTTCTCTACTGCGAAACAGGGAAGCTGGTGGCCAATGACCACCAGGCTTCTGGTTGGCTATGTCCTGAGATGTTACAAAGACTCAGTCACTACAGACTTAGGCTTGAATGCTGGAAAATGAAATCCAAGGAAATCTCTCGAGCCCAACAGACATTTACTCTTCTCATCATATCAGTATTTTTATACATCCACGCAGCCTGCTATCCCACCCTAAGGAACACCATTGTATGCAGAATGATGATCAAAATGTAAAATGAACACAGTGTGCGGCACACATGTTACTGTGCATGTCAGTGTTGAATGTGTCAATGCATATCCTCATACATAAGTACTGTATTGGTTGTAGTGTTGTCTGATGTTGCAGCTGTTTGCAGCTCTTGCCATTGAGCCGGCTTTGCTTGTTTTCTGGTCTGATCCATTGGAGCAGAGAAAATGTTACTGATGATATGCCATGATATGAGCTTACTGTATGCTGGCCCTACCGTGATCCCTTTACCTTGTCAGGGAAGGGACTTTGGCCAAAAAATAGACCCGGGCTACTCCCAATGATTTATGTTTGTCTAAAATCCTCCATTTGTCACTGGTCACTTCGCAGATATGCATCAAGTATGTATGTTGGATATTACCGCATGCCATTCCATGTTTTTTTTCTTTTAATTGTTTTGTTAATTACTTTATTAAATAATGCAATTTTCTGAAATAAGATGTGGACTTTTGGTGTATTGTAACTGAGGTATTTTTCTCCTTGCTTCTCTATATTCATTGTATACACCTGACACATCTGTCAGTAGTAACATGAAAACTTGTCTTCACTGTCGTCATTGAAGAATGCTAGCATTGCCAACCTGTAAATGATCTATGACAAATCTATGCAGAAGTACTTCTCACCACGGAGATTAAAATTTTGCCTGCTTTTCCAGTGTTCTTTTATAACACAGTAAACAGTTGGCCTCACTGTCTGTTTATATGGCTGAAGGGACACAATCTTCTTCATAAAATGCACTTGCTTGCCCATCTAAAACATAACTCTGTCATTTTTAAATAGCCAATCAACATTTTAAGGGTAGGCCTTGGAGACCCCTTTGTATATACCCAAAATAAAAAGGGTACTTAAAAGTTTACCACACCAACAGCAAAAAGGAAATGTATTTTATATATTTGCATAAGTTGTCATATTTCAGTAGATGGTATGTCCAGTATATATTTGTGTATTCTGCAGGCTTTGATTCATACTCTTATAAACAAATTTATTGAGCAGAAAACAACACTTGAGGTAATCTAGCCTTCTCTGGCATCATGAAGATGGCTCTGGTACTTCATCACCTGATAAAGACAGAAAGATACAAGTTTGGGCTTTAATTGCTGTGTATTGCATTAGTCCAAAAGTTTTTTTTTTGTTTTTGTTTTTTAAAGTGATACCTACTGGACTAAAAGTATTATTGACAGACAATTCAAGAGAGGTATGTTTAGCTGACTGTATTTTACCATATTGTTCACCCGGCTGGTTATTTGCTGTCCCCACACTCAGCTTCTGACGCAAAGAATCCAGTGTCTGAGAAGGGATCTGGCTGGAGTTGGCCTCCAGGTATGTAAGCACATAGTGGTCAGCATTGGTCAACACGAAGCGGTGGCTGAAAACTGAGGCAATAGACACGAGAGAGAGAGAGGAGACAGGTGACAAAGAGTTGAGCTTTTGTGTTTTGGTATTGATTCCCCTTGTGGAAAATTAAATTTGACTTATAAGGTAAACAGTTATAATTTTGGATACAGCGTAATGTATGGCACTGTGGTACCACAAGCTACACATTACTGTTATTTTTTCTTGGAGAAAAGATACCGTAACACACTCATCAATTTAGGCAATGGAGACTCTCACCCTCAATGTTGGCTCCAATAGCAAAGTCTGCAGGTGAGTAGAACTCAGGATTTTGCACTGTGGAACCCGGCTTGGGGATACGCGTCTTCTCCAGGAACTTGCCACCAATGATACCAGAGTTGCGAGTGGACTTTTCAAAAATACTGACCATGTCATTGGACAGGAAGTAGGACAGAATGAAATGCCGGCCTTCGTCTTTGGGATTCTGGGAGTCCTGGAATGTCAATAACAAAGGACAGCTTTAAAAGCAAGCAGAGAAATGGCCTGTCTTGCTGTCAGTGGCTTTGGTCAATGAATAAAACATGGATTACATTATCATGTTTTGACTTCTCGGTTAGAATGTAGAATGACCAGCAGGAGAGTGACTTGTAACTACGTAGTCAAAGAAGCAGCATAAACACATCCTTAAATGTCATCTCACCAGCCTGGCACTGTAGCGCAACACTTTGTGGTCATTCTCCAGCATCTTCAGCACATTCTTTTTGGGAGGCTCAGGAATCAGTGACAAACAATTCTGGAGAGAATCTTCAAGTGAACCAAAGCCATTGTAGGGTGGAAACTCCTGTAAGTACAGACAAACGTGGGTTATGGAAGAGAGCAAATACTTATTTACATTACCTCAACAAAAATACCCACAACCAATTCAGATTACAGTCTTCAGTTGTGTAAAAGAAAAGGAAAAGACAGATGAAAGTCATCCCTCACCTTCTTCCTGTTCTGAAGCATGTCAACCTTCTTTGGTACGTCAGTAGGTTTTATCTCCATGTCAGGGTGGTTCTTCTGGAAATACTCCTTAGTGAAGCGATCACAGTCATACAGCAAAAAGCGACGGCCCCGCAGCTTCATCGTGTGACCCACCTGGAAGTCTTTGGGTGAGTAGTACTCATCCACTTCATGTTTTGAGACCTCCAGCACACAGCTGGGGAAGGGCTCTGGAAAGAAATAGGAAAGACAACAATTATGTAGCGATGAAATAAGAAAATGGCACCACTTGATCATTGTGCAATAATATATATTGTTATTTACTTGATGTTTTTGTTTTTAAATCTCTTTCATGTTGTTTCATGTAGAAAATCCTTCATATTTAACAATCCTACATTTTTATCTGTCTTTTTCTATGTATACTGTTGTGACCCACATTGTGCTCCATCCTTTTGTATGAAGTGTGCTACATAGATTAGATACATGATTGTCATCTAGTGCATAAAGTAATGCAGAGCAATTGTTCATATGATGTCAGTTTTGCCAACCTCTAAAGGTCTGCACACTAATATGACTAAATTCAGAGAGGCACCTGATGAAAGCATCTGACTTTATACTTCTTCACTGCACTGTGTTAGATCATAAGGATATTAAATATAAGATATAAGGAAATGTATATATATATATATATATATATATATATAAGTGATATGGCATTGCATCTTACGTGGTTTGAATATCTTGGGCAGTTTCTGCCTGCGCATCAGGACAGGGAAGGGATCCCGACCGCTGTTGGGTTCGTGGATCTCTCTGATCTCCACTGTGTCGTCCACCAGGTAATAGTGGATGGTAACTGGCTTAGTTGCCCCACACACAGAGTCAGTATCATCCCATAGGGCGAAGAAACGCAGTACCTGACCAATAAGAAAAAGAGCAGTAGAACTGTAGAACTGGCATGCAACATTTTTTTTCTGCAGTTGACTTTATTTATGACTGTCAATACAGGCTCAACATTAAGATGCAGAGACATAAAATATAAAAAATATTAAATAACATGGTTTTAGTTAAGATAGATGACCAAGTTGTTGTCACTGATACATAATACACACACTGGTGGTGCTATCATGAGAGGTCTCTTAATCCATATTCACATTAGAAGTTTTTTCATTCTTCTAACTGCAGTCTACATTATGGCTGAGATAAAAAATTACACAAGCAGATCATTTTTGTTTTTTAAATAGGTTGGACAGGAGAGGATACTGTACTCCTGCTTCTCCGTTGATAGCTGTCCAGATTAGGGTTTGTAATGGTTACCCAGCGAGTTAGGAATGGAGGGAATTTCCTTTACCTTGCGGTCCATAGTGAGAAACTGGTGCATGCGGTCAAATTCAGAGGGTGTTTTGTAGTAAGGTTGAGGGATTTTGCGACGTTTGCTGTAAGGATCCACTGGCATCGGCTCAGGGTCGTTCAAAACCATGCCCTCGCGTTCCATGAATTCCTGTATATAGTGAATGAGAAATAAACACAGAAAGAGAGTAGATTTTCAACAACTGACAGTTATATATCCATATTTTTGTGTCAGACACAGACAATATTAAAAATACTGAAAAAGAGAAAGCAATCACATAGGTGAGTGCTGTACCTTTGTAAAAGCATCACACTGCGTGATACGGTACTTGACTCCAAACATCTCCAGGTCCATGCCAAGGTTGAGGTCTTTCCACTGGTAATGCTCTCCATGTTCATTCTTGGGCAGACGCTGCCGTTTGATACGTTTTCCCTGCGGTATCCCAGAATTCTCCACCACAGGCTCGTAGATGTACATGCTGTCATCCTCTAGGTAGTAGTAAATGACCACGGGGCGCACGCGGTACACCTCCTCAGGGGAATACAGGATGTCCTCCTCAAAGTATGCATAGAAGCGCAACACCTACAAGACAAGCGGTTGGTGCAGAACAGACAAACAGTGTATGAATGAATTAGACAGTTGACTGGACAGAAGCAAAAATCAGCGAATACTAGTCATATACTTTCAGGTATTACTGTACCTTCTTGTCAAGGGCCACATGTGCTGGGATGAAGTCTTCAGACAGGCTCTCATCAGAGGAGCCATAAGTAATGTCTGGTGTCTCAAAGGCCAGCTCACTCATCTCCTGCTGGATCAGCTGCTCTGACAAAAGAGGATCCTGTCCAATGCCAGCAATGGGGCGACGGGGCAGAGCATAGCCGTTATTGTAGCCCAGTGTCTGGGGCCGATGGAAGGCTGACTTCTGCAGAGGGAGGATCATTGAAGAAGGTATGAATTAGATCAGGCAAATCACAATAGAAATATAAACTGAAGAATTTAATCAAATTCAAAGCAAAGCATTATGTGAGCCTATGGTCACATACAACACAATACTGTACTACAGAAACTGCTGTATGACATACAGACTAACCTAGATGTGGATTAACATCACCATTCTTTCTGAATTAGTCTCTCTTTCTGAATGTTAAGTAGTTAATGTAACTACTTGTCAACACCTTAACAGAGGTGTACATTTTTTTTTCATTGAAAATTAATTAGAGATATTAACACAAGCTATTTAAGTCCCTTTGCATTAACAACAGTCAGCAACAGCAGCCTTGTTCAGGTAAGAATATCATGTCAAAAGTGTCTAAGTGTATAACCCAGTTAAACGAACTGGAGGAATACAGGAATGACATTTGAATTACAGAAGGAGAACAGCAAATTTTCTTGCGGATGACTTCAATTTGGCTAATGTTGCTCAGACGTAAGAACCTTACGTTATGTTAATAAAAGAACATTTTAAATCATCCTGGTTTTATGTTTACCTTAGCAACAATCTTACCGTCACATCCCGAAAAGTGTATCCTGGTAAAAATGGTAATCCATGGCTATTCCAGTGCCAAGACATTACTCGACTTGAGCTTTTTCTTCCCTGTTTCCTCAGCTCCACAAACTGGTAAACAGTTGGGTATTATATTCGTGTAATTTGCGGCTTTAACCAGGTTTTGTTGTTCTGTAAAGCGACAGCCCCACCGTGGTTAAGTTTATAGTATCCATGGAAACGGCACGACAGCAACAAAAAAGTTTTAAAAAAGTCAACAGATATTTCTGAAAGTGACAGCTAATTTAGCGGAAGTTCAGAGTGAAAAACCAAGGAAATAAAGTAATTTCTAGATTGATAAGAAATTAATACTGTTAAATTAATTAATGAATAAAAAGTAAAATAGTTTGTCCTCTTCGGTTCTCTATAAAATTAATTTGCGTTAATTCAGTCAAGCCTTTAACTGCTGGATTCAATCAAAGAAGACATGTCTTTAAATGATTTGCTATATATATAAATAGCACATAAATGGGTCTCTTTTATCCGTACTATTCATACAAACTGTATGGCCCAATGTTTACCACCAGGGGGCGAGCAACACCAATAAATCTCAATGGTAGAAATGGCACTGGCCCACAGGTCATAACAAAAACAAGCTTGTGAGTTCATGATTACCTCATTGTATTGTGTGTTTACTCTCCAAACTTGCATTAATAAAATAATTATTAGATTATATCCTGAGTGCCACAAAACGCTGCAAACATTGAGCATAACTGGATGATAACACAAGCACTGTGCCCTTTTGAAGTGGCATTTAAAATGCAAACCATCATTTCAGAAAGAAATGTGAAATAGTTTTAAAAAAAGACATGGCTAGGTTATTTTTGAACACAGTTTATTCCAAGCACAGGAGTCATATTTTGGTCTCACTTTACCAGCTAATGGCACATTTTAATCCCATCAATCAAATTTAAACACCAGAACTGTCTTTATAAAACTATATAGAGTGGCTTTATATGGATGACCCTAATATGTCCTGTGTACTCTCAATTAAACTCTCAGTCTGGAAAATACCAAGCTTTTTTTATGAAAACTAAAATAATTTCTATGCTTGAATACAGGGCAGCAGAAAACAGAGCTGGATTGACAATAGTTTATATTGCAATGTGATTTAAGAGAACCAATTTTGTTTTGCAGTGCTTTTGTTCCTTCTTCAGATGGCCATGAGCAGCAATAACCGCAAGCATCTGTTTAGCACTGGTATCTTTGAAAGAAGGGCACGGTTGACACGAGACTGGAAGGTGAGGACCAAAAAGAATTGTTTCTAACAAATTCACTTGCACAAAATCGGCACAATCTTATCACGTACATTTACATCTGGTGAGATAGCAAGTGCAACTTTTGACAGAGACATTCAGGGTTTTACACATGCCCCACTTCAGCAAAGCAACAGTAAAGGTAAAAGGGAAAACATATATGACAAGATGAATTTGATATTTCCAATTAATAAATCATTTGACCAGTTATTCAGTAATACGCCAGCTGCACTCCTGAAAACAGTGACTTAATAGCTAGAAAAGGCACTGCACTGTGAATTAAACATACTGTATCAAAAATAAGGTTAAATCACGGAAACCTCTTTGAGGCTCTTTATATGATATTTCTAATTCTTTTCTTTAAATGCTGACATAGCTGTTTAAATGGGCTGATCCCCTTCTTAGGAAGCAAATACATCAACCAAACACAGAAACACTAGGATTGCATCCCTGAGGTGCCAGACAACCTTCGCCAAGTATAAAAATAGCTCATAATAAACCATACTTGAGAACACAATTAAACAACATCAATAAACTATTAAATATTATAAAATATATTTCATAAGGGTTGAGATGAATTCTCCAAAAAATATCTTTTGGTTTTACAAAGTTCAAAAGGCAGCATGGTTATTCACTGTGGAAAGATTGTCTTACATTGTCCCATTGTCCAGCACACTGCGTCCTGCTTTATGCTGCCCCTCCGGGAAGTCCACACTTGAATACTGGAGGGTACTGAGCATGAAGCTCCAAGTGTCACAGTCTCTTGCAGCTGCCCCGCGTTCTGTATGAAACAGATCCATCTGAGGCCTTGGTCCTTCAGTCACTATGTAGTCTCTGCAGGCCAGTGTTTGTCTACAGAGGCTAACCCATAAATCCCCACTTCAAAAAGGCCTGCTAGGGTCACGGCCAAGGCAGTGTACCCTTTCACCCCTCTCTTCCACCAGAAAGAATCAGCTAAGAGGCGTGCTTACCATGCAGTGAGCTTATTCTCTTACTAAATGGGGTATAGCTTATGATACCCAGAGGAATATGCCAACCACCACATAGGGAAGGCTTTCTTCCCAAGCCTGCAATACCTTCTACTGTTCTCATCAGTGAGTCCACAGTCGCAGTTGTGTGCTTGCTTATAAAGCTTCATCAGGGCCTTGTCTCTTGCCCCTTCCAACCCAAGTGCATCCTAAAATGTGTTCAAGTCAAGTAAGTTTTCTCCAAAAAGCCTCTTAGCAGTGCTCAGTAATACCGATTGAGGCTCCGTGTCCCGGGGATGTCCGGTTGCCCGTTCATCCAGATCTCTCGGATGATTCGCTCCCTCTCCTCGAGCCTCTGCGCTCGTTCTAGCTCTTCTGCTGACGTGAACACGTTCATGTTAAGCGTGCGCTCGAATCGCCGGTGTCTCCGCGCCGACAGGTCCGAGGTGGTGTCCCAGTCCGAGTCCGAGTCGCTGGAGTCGGAGGACGAGTCTGCGGGAC